TAATGAAAGATCTAGAAACAAAAACGAAAATATTTGCTTTATGATCCTTATTTTCGTTTTTGTTTCTAGATCTTTTATTATCTAGGAACTCCAGACTCTCAGATATCTTATCTAGAAAAATATCCTACAATAAAGGAAATTTTTATAAAATACAATACATTTATTCCTTCTTCGGCTCCGATGGAGAGATTAGTTTCATTTGCTACGATGATTAATACAGCCAAATATCATCGATATCAGACAGTATGTTTGAAAAACGTGTGCTTCTGAAAACATTTTTAAATAAAAATGTATCAAATAAAAAATAAACTTTGATAATAATTACTTTTAAGTGATTTTATTTAAACCAACTAAAAGAAAAACATTCTGAAATCTATTGATCAACTATCAACTATCTAGTTGATTATGTACTTTTTTCATTAAATTTCTCTTTTTCTATTTATAAATAAGATTAGTTTTTATGTTGTTTTTTATTTTATTAATTAAAACTAATGACACGAGTTTTTAATAAATTAAATTTTTATTTTATTGATTGTAAATTTATTTAATTTCTTTAGTTTTAATTTATTTAATGTTAAAAATACTAATTAATAGATTAACTAATAAATTAACTAATTAATAAATTATATTACAACTTTACATTCACGAGTGAGGACTTTAATTTTTACTTTGTGCATCATTTTTTGTTATCGATTTTTTTTATTTGTTACATTCTTCGAATAAAAATGATGAATTACGAATAAATTATTCGTGATTATTTTATTCAAGTAACGAATAATCAAATTATTCGATATTCACGAATAACGAATACATTTATTTTATTCGTTACTTTTTATTCGTTATTCAGAATAAATTTTGCCCAACACTAACTATGTTTATTGTATCAATCGAGCTTTCGTGCCAGCTCTCGCAATACTCGCGAGACCGATCGCATTTGATAAAGCAATACATATCCCAGAGAATTATTTTTCAGATAAACAATGAAATATTTAATTTAGAATTATATTTTAAAATATTAAATTATCCGATAAATGCGACAAATTCTTGTATTTGTTCCAGTAAGAGCCTAAATGTATGAAATTTAATTTAACAGAGAGAATGTTTACCTAATTCTAACATATCAGTTTAAAACATTTTCAAAAATAATCGCGTAAAGTTACGTACATGTGCGTTGCATCGCATCGTTTAAAACACTCTAATGGCAAAAAACGTACAGCTTCACGTTTATTCTGTAGGACCATTACATTTCTGTAATGATCCTACTTTTTCGTCTCGTCCCGTCCCGCCGATGACCCGACGTAATTGCGCGGCTTCTCGAATACTCTTTCACGTTTCACATTATTTCTTGCGAATCTTAATCGCACGGTGTTGCGTGGACGTCGCGCGGAGAATTAAGTCTGCGTTTCTATCTTTAACCGCTTTTATGCGCGCGACAGCGAAATATACACCGGCCCGGCAATTTCGTCCGGCTGGAATATTTATCGATGCACGCGGGGCGAGAAAGTCCGTTCGCGGTCGTTTCCGACGCATCGCGCGCCACATGCAGAAGCAGAATTCACCGATCCCAATTAAGTCGGCATTAAATTCTGATGTTGTCCTTTTAATGCAGAAGAACAAAATTGCATTTTTAAGATACGAGATATTAAAGGCGGACTCGTGATACTCACAATTTTCAGTGGCGTTTTTACGAGCGAAGAAGCATTCTCCGAATGCGCAAAACGCATTTATAATATTATGACAATCACAACTTTTCATTTAAATACCTTAAAATCGTGCAACGTACAATGTACCGTTTGTTTTAACAATTCTGTAATTTGTCTCGAGCATTTCAAGTCTAAAGATATTTTTATAAGTCCGCTGTTTCATCGACCTGGATCGAAATGTCTGGCTCGAGCGTGCGCGAGTTAGAGTATTTGAAGATCGCGCGCCTAAGAATTTATTTTCTACTTTACAAATACGAGGAATGTTAATGGTTCAGAATCTAACATTTTAACTTGAAGGTTCAAAGAGCTAAAAGATTTAGATGGTATTTTAAGAATTTCGAAATTTCGACGCGCATGAACAAAATCCACCATTTCTCTCTAGCGAAGATAAATAAGTACAAAATTGTAAATTCTCAAATTAACGAAGAATACTACTTCACCGATAACTTATTATACGGTGTTACATAATGGTTTTCGCACGTGTAAGGGACATCTAACACGACGCGATGTGCGAAAGATATATTCACTAAAATATATATAACGAGTTTTACACGACAGCGCACACGAAGGTGCTAAATTTTTGTTTGGCATATTTGTTACGCAGGCTGTGGTAAAACAACACTGCTGAACTGTTTGTCCGGCCGTGTTGGCGTGGACAGCGGTGAGATCTGGCTGAACCGCGAGAGGCTCACCAAACGGTGGCGCAGAAGAATCTGCTACGTACAACAGCAGGATATTTTTTTCCCCGATCTCACCTTACGGCAGACACTTGAGGTAGGTCCAGCAAGTAATATTACACAGTAGCAAGGAACTTTAATCCAATTCTGAATAAGCGACACCACAGTCATTTCGGTCTATTAACGTCTCTTGGATATTCTGTCTCTTAGATTTAATGATTTATAAACATGTTAAAGATTAAGCTCCGGTGTATTATATATTGATTTAAAATAAATTGAAAAGTCGAATCTTCCTTTGCAAGAAATAACTCGCGAGAGCGAGTTACTTTGTATCACTTTTTAATTCAAATGAGATGTTGCACTATATATTATCGCGCTTGTGAAATATTTTGGCGCTATTTTTATTTACAGAATTGAGCAAATAATATTGTACCAAATACTGAACATACAATATGTACCTTGTGTATTTAATAGAATATTTGACTGTGCATGCAGAATGATTCAAAATATGTAGATATATAAATATATGTATGTGCACCCCGCTAATTTTTGTATACACATAAATAAATGATGAAGCCAAACCGTCAATGGTATGCCGATCGTAAAACTAACGCAAGGAATGAATATAATTTATTTGTATGCAAAACTTAGAGGAGAGGTATGTCAAGTCTCGACGATTTGTACGCGTGTACTCGCGCGATGAAACAAGCAATGAACAAAACGCGCGCAACGATGGAAACGAGACAGTTGCTGTGGATGCATTTCTGTACCGGTATCCCGAAATAAGAGAACAAAACGCAGAAACGAGCGTAGCGTTTCCTCGTTTTCCACGAAAATCCCCGGCCCCGGGAGCGTGCCAAGGCAGCCACGCGAGCCTTTCACTCGATATTCATCACGTCCCACGCGCCGAGCAAGCGGGAATTAGGAGGACACCCTGTACGCAAAGATCGCGGGGAATGCAAATGCGGGCTAGGAGCCAATGCGCCCCGTTGCACTTGGGGGATTTAAGAGGTCTGGGCGGAAAACGGACGCGGACAGATATGCGCTTTGTCGCTTTAGCCGCTCTAATCGAATAAACATGCCCGGTACGCACACGCACACGCGCGCGCGTGCACCTGCGCGTCGCGACTCATTGCGAATCGGGAGACAGAGAGTCTCGTAACAAGGTTAACCGAAAGACTATTTTTAATCATGGAAACGTTTCTCATATTTACCTTTTTTTTTCTATGTCTTAATATCTTTCTGATTTCGTACCTCGCGGCGTTGGAAGCGTTCTCACCTTCCGTGAAGGAGAATCCCGACTTTTGAGACAATTACGATTATAAGGTCTTTAATTATAAGAATAATTAACGCCTTAAAATAAGAGATAGAAAAAGTAGGCATATTGATTCCATATTCGAGGATGAGATATTCATTTGAGAACACATTTCGTAAATTCAAAACTTAACGATATAACAACAGACGAATACAGATCAAACAAAGGTTTGAAGAATGACAGATTGCATACAGTTCAAATTGAAACGCACGAGTTTTATTTGTCTGTCATTAACGCGCAGCGTCTAAATAATTTAAATGCAATCAATCGGCCGGGTATTTGGAACAATTCTACTCTACGTCTCATTGAGATAAAAATTTCAATAAAATCTGAATATATACGCAGGTAGATGGATATTGCTGTTTATCGAGCACTCGAGGCGTCCCTTCAAGCGCTGAAACGTTACAAAAATTGTTTACAGCATGATAATTGAATAATGAAAAAAAAAGCAAAGTATGAGAGATAAAAAAAGTATCACGTGCATGGCGCCCACTCGCGCGCGCGTACCTACGCGACAGTCGGCACGCGCGTGTCACACGCATAGCGATACACGCGGCTCTTGCGACGAACCCGAGTTCGTCTAGCCGCGACCGTTAGCGGGGTACAGCGGCCCGCGATGACGAAAGGGGGGGAGGGTCGTATCTCTCGCGGTGACGTCATAACTCGGTCAGTGAACCGCCGAGAGCTCGCGCGGCGTGCGTCTTACGGTTTCGAAAACATTTGGCGCCGCCTCTACACGCGCGCATACCGCGCGTGCACACGGCGCGCTGTTTAGAGAGAGGCACGGCCGCGGTGTATAGCTCCTTTCAGCGGGATGACACTTTCTCTCTCCCGGGGGTAGGAGGGCACGCGAGGCCTCCTCTCCGGCCTTCTTTCCTCTAGCCGCTTCCTCTCCCTTTCCGCGCGCGGTGGTCTCGCTTCTGTTGTCTATCGCGAGAGAGACAGGTTTTGTATCTAACGGCGAATGAACTCGAATTTTAGGTCTGGTTGCATTTTGGGGACCACGGGGGGTGACTTTGCAGCAAGACTGTATAAGTCTTTGTCTCGCGGATCGACACTGATCTCCTCTTTCGATCGAGTTGTTTGATACATAAACAGGAGCGGTAAAAAATAATTGCGTGAAAATCATCTCACGTAATGTACATGTTTAGAAGCATCACCCACATATTTCTAAATCACGCTTGTAATTAGTGTCACAAAGTTAAATGTTTAGATTAGCATAAAGATGTTTCATGATGAGTGCATTTAACGAGACTTTTTTTTATTATACGAAGCAATTTTTTTCTATGGATGTCATAGGCCGGTATTCCGGTTCATATAGTCCGTTCTTGTTTCAAGATTGTCTTAAGAAGTAATGTCTTAAGGTGCTAATACGGCTAAATTGTGATTGATTTATGACATCTTAAGATTATACTTATAAGAGACGGTCTTAAATACAAGAACCGACTATGAATACCGTCCAGAATCTTATTTTCGTGTATCTTTCAGTCCGTGTTTTTTCAAAAAATTTTCTGAATTTTGACAAAATTCTAAAGTGATTTTATATACCGTGTCAACACATAATATAATTTGAGTATCATTAAAATAACCCAGAAAGAAAAAGATTGTCCGAAATTTGTGTGTGGGCAAGAAATGAGAAAATCGTGCCGTCCGGCTGCATTCTTAAAGCCTCGGCTCGTCAAAAGGCCCTTTCGTTCCCAAGACAGGAATGTAAACTGTTAGAGGGAACAGAAGAAGAGGTTCACTTTTCCGCCGTCCGGTTCCACAGCCGGGTATCGTCGTTATCTTTATTTAGACATAACTGTGTTCCCGCGGCGAGTACACACAATATCATCGGCCGCACTTTCTCTCTCCGCATAACGGGCCCCCTCTTGTGTAACGGCACGAGGAGAATGAACGTTGAGAAACGGCATGCGCGTCGTCGTCTCGGCCGGTCTCTGTATCCGTACGCGTAGCCGCTCTGTTGATTGTGATATAAAGGGCGATCCATAACATCATCGCGCATCAACCCGCGCGATAACATATATTCTTGGACGCGTACGAAATCGACGCGTTTGCGTCGCGGAAAGTTTCATCGGGACGCCTCTTTACCCCAAATGTTTTAGCGTCTCCCTACGCAGCTTTATGTCCTTTTATAACTAACATGTTGAATTAAAATCTTATATTGAAGGAATATCACATAAAAGTAAATAAAAAAGATCAAGCTCTATTATCCTCGCTTTATTGCGAAAATATATAATCGATGGAGATTGCTAGAGTTTCAAATTTTTGTAATAAATTGTAAGTGCGACACACACATGGAACATATACCGAATAATATCTATCTACCTACGTATGTATAACGGTACACAGTGCAGTCATTTATTCGATGACATCGTGCTGATTTTATCCGCCTATACTTAAGGATATGACAGGGTTCGGTTAAAAAGAATTATACGATTAATCGCCGTGAAAGAACTTGAATTGAATCAACCTAATTTCGAAAAGATTGAAACAAATTTATATTGAAGATAAATTATCGGTTTATTCAGATATTTATTGCGAGATTATTATTGATTTAATTTATAGCAAGACGAAAAAAGTTTATTGCAGCAGGCACCATTAATGCTTTTCGGGTTGAATATTTTAAAGTCGAATTTAAATTCGTTTGTTATGAATGATTTAAAAAATCTTATATATAATCCGTGTATCCGTTGGACTAAAGTGTATGTTTTGTTTTTAATCTTGTGCTGAACCCTAAGTAAGGTAAAGGTGCCAATACCCGGACATGTACCTATATCTGGACACCTTTATTATATATAAGTATAACGCGAATGAAAATCAAAGATAAAAGTATTTTTTCTTGTAGTTTCAAACTTCTGTTATAATATCCAAACGTTTATTTCCATAAATTTATATTTTTTTAAAGGTATCCAGACACAGGTACGTGTCCAGGTTTTAGTACATTTACCTACTCTTAAGTGTCCGGGTATTGGTACCTTTACCCTACCCATCGAACGTTTGAAGATGTCAAGTCGTCAGACACACAGCTCCGCTATATTTACGAGGCGCTCATGACGCGAGTATACTCTTGAATTAACGAACTCCCAGACGCTCTTCCGCGGTAAAAACAGCCCGCGGTTTCGCAATCGACGCGTCATCGTAATTGACTTAACGATCAGCTTATGATGGGCGCGCGCCCCCGGCGCGGCGCGTTTAGAGCCGGCCGGGATAATAATAGTACAAAGTGGCCTGGATATATTACGAAACGGAAATGCATCCACCAGCTCCGCGCGCGATGCACCGCGCTGAGGCGCGGCGCGCGGTTTTGTTTACGTTGCTGTTTTAATGCGCGCGTTTACGCGGCCCGTCGGAGCGCGTAAACCAGCGTAAACCGATCGGGCGCTAATAAAACCGATCGCCGTTTACGCGCGCTCTCTCGCGCTCTCGCGCGTCACGACCGCCGACACGTTTGCATCGTATTGCACAATTTTGCAGTACCAGGCGAGGCTGAGGCTTCCGGACACACTCTCACACTCCCAGAAGATGCAGTGCGTGGACCACATCATCGAGGTCCTCGACCTCGCGGGCTGCCAAGACACCAGTGAGTACGGAACGGGCGGAACGGCGCGCGCCGTAAAGCCGAAGGATCGATGTCGGGCGCGCGACGTTTTTAGATCCGCGGCCAACGCGATTTCGAATCGCGAGCCGAAGGATTCCACAGATCGTAATTCGTTCGATTTCTCCGGGCCGCGGTCGTAAAGTCGCCGTTTGCGCGTTTACGCGTTTACGCGTACATCCGCGATGTAAACAACGGTGGCTCGCGATTTCTGCGCGACGTTAGAAGACGTCGTTACTCCACGATCTAATAGCACGCTCGACCGAGTTACATCGCGTCGTTCTGGATAAATTCAAGTTAATGCGATTTTCGAGAATTTACATGAATTTTCATGAACCTCTTTGACTACCGTGTCACCCATATCCGGGTAACGCGTGAGTTTCCGTAAAGGCCCCGTTACTTCATTTGTAGGTGACTGTTTTATTCACCTGATTAGGAATGATTTTATTAAATATTTATGAAGACATTAAAAGAAAAACATAAAAATATTGTGAAAATAATACACTAGATTTATTAAAATCGGAATTATTTATTTTCCTATTTTTCTGCTTGTCTATCTGTTTCAATCAAAAGAGATTTATTATTTCGATTTATGACTGACAATTTTATTTTTTCCATCTGAAATTATATTATTAAATATTTAATAATGCAAACAATATATTTTTTATTTATTTATATTTGTTTACTTTTTTGTATGGTTTACTTTGTAATCTGAGTGAGTCTGCATATTTTATAAAGAATCTTCTCAAGTTTTTCGATCTCTCAAGAGCCAATGCTGAAATCAGGTTGGCAGTTAAAATATTAAAAGAGGACTACACCACGTGTATACACGTGGAATGTGACGAGTTATCATTTTTACTCTGTTGTTTTATAGTCGATGTTTGAAAAATAGATTACAAGTCGAATGTAAATATTCTAAAATAATCTAAAATCGCGCGCGCGAAGATGAAAATTGAGCTATTCGGATCAGGTGCGTTATACGCGCTTCAGGTGTGTTATACGCGCTATAAAATTTGATACACTTTCGCACTACAACTCACAATAAATTTCATTAGCCCTTCGTTTTTTCGATGTTATAGCACTGATTATAGCGCAGATCGTGGTGAATCGACGTTTGATGTTAATCCGCGACCGGCTCTTACCGTTATCGTCAACATGACTATCCGTCTTGGTTTAGCATTTTGATTGACAATTTCCGCGATCGCGAATATCGAACCGTCGCGCGAGCGTCAAGCAGCATGGGTTATCAAAATATGCACGTAGGAAAAACGAGCCAAGTAATATACAGGCTGACCTACATGCACGTTTCGCACTCCGCGTCGTGAGATTCTCAGAATGATGATTCTCAGATGATCATCCTCGTTAACGAGAAAATTGGACGGGACATCGTTTCTCAAAATAATATAGATCTTTCGTTAACTAGATTATATTGGATCAGACATCGCTTTTCAATGTTTAGCTAGATGCTTCGGCAATTAAGGGGTTAAATGAAGAAACGTTCTTAATCATAAGAAAAATACGATTTTATTCTATAATATCCCCGTCGATGGTTTCAAATTATAATTTACAGATGTCATTTTTACATTCAAATTGTTCATTGATTGTGATACGTGTGCTTTGTTAATTTTGCCAAAGACAGGCTGCGGTTTGATCTCGGAGTCTCATCCGACGTAGACGCAAATTTGCGGCGCGATCCCGCGTCACCTCGCACAGCCATATCGAAAACGTCGAACGTAGCGGAAGCGCGATGACATTTTCCGGAATACAAACGAGGGAAAGTACGGACGCGCGTATCTTTACTGAGCCGCGGAACGCTGGGCTCATTCCCGGCCGGTTGATAAACGGTTTCCTCGATCGTTAACCCCCGAGCTCCTCGAGCGCTGAACGCGACCGCCTCGGCCGCGAGCCGCGAGCCGCGAGTGTGACGTAAAATATTATTCCCCGCACACAATTATACGTTCGTTTCTCTTCCTGTGCCCCGAAGGCGTGAGCGACCGGTCGGCGGTGGCGACGACAAAGTTTAATAATTTACCACGCGTCAGAGATCACGCGCCCCGCATCTCGTTAGTTCCAGCTGGCGTTGGCAAATCCGAATATCGACATGGGGCACGTCGGAGACGCCAACATCGCCGCGCCGCGAGAGAAAGAGAGAGAGAGAGAGATCCTATTGGAAAACTATTTATCTTTATTATTCAACGGGGGATTTTTCATCGACGTCTGCTCGTAATTCTGTTATTCGCGACCGCGGACGTAGGTTCGCATGCTAATAAAACGCCTTTGACGCTTTGTTGTCTGAGATCATACGCGCCATATCTTCTGAACCTTTTTAAATGCCCCTTTTTTCCTCCGCCTCGGTGAAATGCGTGACATGGTAATTACGATCGCCTACATTTTCAATATCTTTCGTATGATGGGTCTCCGTATCTCGCTGCTCATACAATCGAGTACTATTTTCGAATATTATTCATCGCGATGTTGGTAATGCAATTGCGTATAGAAACTAGAAAATGACGCATATCGATTCCACGCGAAAATAACTTGGCATTCGCGTTTATATCCGTACGCTTACACACATTTTTAATTTTTTTTTTGTATAGTAAGTACCATAATCATGTCTGTGTATTTTAATATAAATTAACAATATTGATATTGTTCAAGGATTTATTTTTATATTTACGAAATGACATCTGTAATTTAACGCAAGATATAATTTCTTATGTAGAGAGAAAGAGAGGGAGGGAGACTAATGATATACTTTTTGTATAGTTATTGGAGATTATTCGAAGCGGGGAATTTCCGGTGGCGAAAAGAAGAGGACAAGTATAGCTTGTGAATTACTCACGAATCCATCATTAATGCTACTTGACGTAAGTTTCTCCTACATTTTTTAGAAACATGCATATATACTTACATATCTTATATTTGTAATATAATACATCTTATAAATCCTATAAATAATTTATAATCCTAATTCATAATATACGTAATTATTTTTAAATGTTAAAATCAATCGGAAAAAAATATTATTATATAAAATTTTAAATAATTTATGGAAACTTATGCAGAAATTTACCAAGTTTATGCAGATCTAACTATCTAACTATAAAACAAATAATGTTATAGAAATAAAATATTTCTCTCCAACAATCCCCACTAATCTATACTTTCATGACATTAAAGAATTGTAAAAATAGATAAATCTTCGATTGAAATATACATGGGATCGTGGATCCACGTACCTTACGATTTATACACTGAATTTATAAACTGAATAATGTTCATGATATTAGATGGCATGAAATAATTTTCAGAGATGGAAAGTTCGTTCAGAAAAAAGTTTTCTAGCAATAAGTCTAACGTGTTAGGTGTTGATCGATAGGCGTTAGATTAGATTATGATCGTTAATTCGAAATTTATGAAATCTTTTACCTTTCAGGAACCCACGAGCGGACTCGACTCGCATTCGGCACAGGCATTGATCTCGCGGTTAAAGAAATATGCCGAGCAAGAGGGTAAGAGTATCGTCGTGACGGTACACCAACCTAGTTCCAGGATGTTCCACAGTTTTAGTAAGCTTCTCCTACTGAGTAACGGTCAGGTGGCGTACTACGGTTCGACGGCGAATGTCGGCAGATTCTTCTCTACGATAGGACTTACTCTACTGCCGCATTACAACCCCGCAGACTTCATTCGTGAGTGCACTTTACTGATATGAACTGATTTCGTTGAATTACACTTGCGAATGATATATATATATACACCTAACAGATAAAATTTTGCCTCGCGTCTTTATTTTTTTCTAAACATTTCAAACTTATAAGATTCGTAGTTTCTTGAAAAAAGATCAGTCTACCTGTACTTTCTTTAATATATTTTCCACGATATAATTTTTTTTATACAATATATATGTCACAAAAAGTATTGAGTGTTTTGCACAAAGTTAGAAAGCGTTTAAAATAAAATCTAATCAGAATCACATATGCTGCACATGCACACCTTATATTTTTTTGTTTAATGTCATGTTTAATCAAGTGGTATAAATGTTTTTTAACGCAATAAATATGCGTAAGATACGAAAGTAAAAAATATTTTTCTCAAATATTTGCATTATTACCGAGACAAATGATTTTCAGAGCGTACATATAACATACATACATCTAAAAAAGACTACGATCATATATTTGTTTTCTGAAATAACCGCTTCGTGTTGTCGGAATGCTACGGGAAACGGATGGCTGTTCCCATGAATTGATCAGAGCCGACCGAGAAAAGAGCTCGGCGTTGTACGAAATGCTTCTGTTTCAGTGGAACAAATAAAGGGACCAGAGGAAGTTCGAGATCGCATCGTTGCCGCAGCGAGAGCTGCAAGACAGGGACCTGACTGCCCACCGGAACTTCGCCCGGAGTATAATCCCAGCCAACATCCGCTCTGCGACCATCTCATCCATTATCACGAGCACCACATCAGCCACAACGGTATTATATATAATATAAGTATGCAGTCCGCCCCGCGATATACGTATTTAAATGTATTCACACCTAGACTTTCCCCCGGACCACAGGCGGACCGTTACGGGCTCCGATGTGCCCATTTAAAGCGCGCACTTGCTCAAAGATCGAGTATCTCGCGTCCGACCTACGGCGGAACGCTGGAAGGGCCGTTTTATGAACTGCTAAGATAGGCAACTTGACTGAACCTGTCCGCTAAGTGTTTAGAGTCTTTAACTCGCCGAGAGTGCTACGGCGTGTACCGTGCACGATTCCAAAGAGTTATTTATCTTTCCGTTCTTGATGGTGTAAATACGTATATCTGTAGACGGTGAAATTTCTGAAATAGTCTAGAATTATCTCGCTTCAACTTTCGATAACAAATAATAAAAGAGGTCGAAAAGTAGTGAATATTTTAACATCGCTATTTTTTAAACGAATAATGTTAATTAAATTAAAATGAGTTGAATAAAATCATCTTTCTCAGATACATACACATCAAAGCCGAAAATAAATATAATATCTGTAGGATGTTCTAGGACAATAATACATATAATTTTTTAATTATATTGTATAATTTTTGGATTTTGTTACAAACATATTTTATAAAAAATGAGAATCGATTTTATGCATAGCTGATATTTATTTAATCACTTTTCGTATTTTTAAATTTTTTTAACATAAAATCTTTTAAATATTAACTACCTTAGAGATCATGAAATATAATGAAGAAATTTTTTTTTATTTCCCTAAAAAAAATTCTGCATGATAGAAGAAATAATAATAAAACATTACACAAAAGCTTATGTAATTAATGTTGAACAGTCTAGACTTATTATGTTAACATTTAAGAATATCAATAAAATAACTTAATATACGTATTAGAAAAGTGAGCGGAGTAAAATCGTAAGGGAATTGTCACCGATTTCTTCTCCTCTCAACTGTATATCTCTACCTACTTGTGTATTTATCGACGATGCAATTCTCACAAAGCTACTCTAAACACTCGTCCCGATGCTTTACAGTGAAAGAAGACGAAGGCCGTACACTATGGTTGGACACACAAAGCCACGCCAGCAGCAGCGCGAGTTCTGCTGATGACGACTATTCCTGGCAGTGGCCCACCAGTTTCTGGTCGCAGTTCAAAGTGAGTACGAATGTTTGTAGCAATTACCGAATACAATGCCATTATTCTATTCGCTTAAGTTCTTTATCTCCGCGGTTCACGCACTATTTCGAGTTTGAGGATAAAAGGT